TTCCATGCTTTCAGGAACCCATGGTCCAGAAGTAGATGACCCTCCTTCTGACATAACATCGGCAGGCTGATAATGAGCTAGAACCATGTCACAGGCCTAATCATTCGCCTCACTTCATCTCATCACCGCAAGAAGGGTTAGGATAGCGCAATATTTTGAGAAAGAGAGACATTTACCAAGCTTTATTACAGTATGTTGTTATAATTGTTTTAGTTTATTATTAGTTACTGTTGTTAATCTCTTCCTGTGCCTACTTTATAAATTTATCATAGATAGTTACAGAAAAAAACAATATATATATAGGATTTGGTACTATTCGTGACTTCAGGCATTCACCAGGGGCCTTAAAATATACCCCACCAGGGATAAGGGGAAACTATCGTAACTAGTCACAAAGCAGAAGAAAAATATCTTCCCTAACATGTTTCCTTTTCAGCGTCTTGTTCAATACTGGCCTAACATCCAGGTTCAGGAAGAGAACTTAATGTGTTTCTGCCCACTCTGGAAACAATTCTACTGGGAGGCTCAATAGTCCAGGTTAAGATTGCTCATTTCATGACTTGTAAATTACTAATTGTACAAACTTATGGAAGGAAGTTATTTTTTTCTAGCCCTTTTACAACCAACAATGTTTGCAAAACATCAAGATTCCAGAGAGAAACTAGAATTTTGCCGTTTTCATTGCTTGAAATTTTGTTAACCTGTATCTTTCCAAGAAATTGTCTTTATTTTGTAACAACCTGTTAACTGTCTCTGTAGCAGAACAAGGTCCACAGGAGCAAAACCATGACAACTAGGTGAAGACAAACCTCCAGCAGATTTTCTGCAATTGGAGAATTTGAGGGAGCGAGCCTGCTTATTCACTGGAAGCACCAACACGACCACTCCGCACAGCACCCCTCGCTCACACGGGGAAAGGGGTTAATTGTATACATTATGGACATATATTACATCCCACCGCGGTGTTACCCCTTCTCTCAACAGTTTTGTGACAAGGAGCACTTTAATAGGGTCTTTTCCTTTCCGTGTCCTCGCCCCGTCCGCGGCTGCGGCGGAGGAGGAACCCCTCTCAGAGCGCGCTTCGCACCCCTGCCGCGAAGTGGGCGCCGTCCGGGAGGTTAGCCAGGGTGCGGGCAAGGCTTCTAGAAACCGGATTTTCATGCTAAAACGGGATTCTACCTGTACTGGCAGCAGTTGTAAATTTACTAAATACGTTCTCTCCTGCGAGAGCACATTGCTGCTAAAATTCGGGGAATTCTCCCATTTTCCCGTCTTTGCAAAGAGAGGATAGATTCTAAAACAAATTTCCTTTCTTTTCTTCTCTCTCTTGTTTTGTTTTTTTTTTTTTTTTTGGCAATAGCTGAAGTACATTTATGGAGGTTTTCAGTACTTTGGTTAGAAAAGTTTATGCAAACCGAACTCAGACTCTGCCGCGCGCCCGGGGACTCTGTTTCACGGCCCCGCAGGGCTGTGGCGCGGGCGGACCTCCTCGCCTGGAAGCGAACGCGCTGACCCGCAAACTAACAGGCCGGCTCTCAGGCGGGTGGCAGGGGCGGAATCCGGCGACCCGCAGGCGACCCGGTCGTCAAAGCCGCGCCCCGGGACTGTCAGCTCCCGCTCTGCCCCTCCCCCATTCCCGCCGCCAGGGCCGGGGCGCGGGGGCGACAGGGGCGAGGCGGGGGCCCTGCGGGACGGCCACCGCCCGTCCCCGGCTGCACACCTGCCGCCCCCGCGCCGGGCGGCCGCGCTGACCCCCCCCGCGGGACGCCGGCACCGCAGGCCGAGGAGCACCGGCGCGGCGGCCTCGGGCGAGGGCGAGCGGGCGCGCAGGGCCGAGGGCGCTCTCGGCTTCAGGGCGGCCTCGCGAGCAGCCGGTGCGGCGGGCCGCGCTCTTTGAAACGCTGCACCGGGAGCCTCTCGCGTTCGGAACGGATATTTTTCTCAAACTGCAGATCCTCGCGGCTCCGCGGGCGGCCGGAGCGCAGGCCCGAGGCGGAGTCGCGACCCGCCCCCTCCCCCGCGGCCCTGCCTCCCGCCCCTCCCCCGCCCGGAGCGGCCCTCCGGGCGCCGCCCCCTCGCGAGCGCCCACTCGGTTCCTCCCAGCTGCCGCGCGAACGGGCCGCCCCCCGGGCTCCGCGGAGGGGGCGGAGGGAAGGGGCCGAACCCGGGCCCGGGCGGCCGCCGCCCCCGCCCCCGGCCCGCGCCGGCCCACGCCGGCTTCTGCGTCACTCGGCCGCGCGTGGGCGGGAGCCGGAGCGGCGAATGTGGCAAGCGCGGAATCTCCCCATGTGACCGCGCGCGGGGGGCGGGGGCGGCGGAGGCGGGCGGGGGAGGGGGAGGAGGAGGGGAGGGCGCAGCGCGCCGGGAGGAGCTGGGAAGCGAGGAGGAGGGCGGGCACGGCGGGGGAGGCACCGCCGCCACCGCCCGCGCGCCGCATCCCGGAGCAGCCGCCGCCGCCGCCGCCGCCGACGCGGCCGAGCCGAGCGCCGTCGGGGCTGGCTGGCGGGCGGGCGGGAGCGGCGTGTCCGAGCCGGGGTGGGGGGAGCCGGAGCGCGCGCCCACCGCCTTCCCTTCCCCCCTCGATGGGCGCGGGGGCGTCCCGGCCGCCGCAGCCGCCTGAGGAGGGAGCGCTGGGGGCCGTGTCTCCGGAGTCGGGGCCGAGCCGTCCTCGCGGGAGAGCGCGCCGAGCCCGCCGCAGCCGCCGGCCGAGTACGTACCTGCCCCGGCCCGCTTCGGCCGGGACGCGCGGCGCTCACGGGCTAACTTGGGCGGCGGAGGCGCGGGTGGCGCGGGCTCCGGGGCTGGCGTCCGGGGCAGCGGGCCCCGCGCGGGCGCCGGCGGAAGCGGACGGCGGCCTCTAGTCGTGTGGGCGATCCGCGGAGAAAGTCGGGGGCCGCGGCGGCGGGAAGGGGGCGAGCGGGGCCGCGGGCCGGGGGCGCGCGCCGTTGCTCCCGAGCCGGCGGGTGCGAGCGCTCCTCGAGGGCGGCCGGGGTCGTCGCCGTGTCGGCCGTGCTGGGGGCGCGCGCCCCGGGAAGATGTGGCCCGGACGGCCCTGATCGCTGCCGCCGGTGCCTCCCGCTCCCGAGCGCTGTTTCTGTTTCCGCGGCGGAAGGAGTTTTTTGGAAGTGGCTGTGCCAGAAACTTGGCTCCGGGCGCGGAGCAGCGGGAGACGCGTGCTCGCGGGGCCGAGCTTGGGGTTCCCGGCGCGGGGGGCGGCCGCCTGGAGAAGAGCCGTGCGACCTCACGCGTGCACAAGCATGGCAGTCGGGGTGCGGCTTCCAGACTCCAGGTTCGGGCGACCGAGACCGGAGGCGACCCCGGCCAGTGAGCCCAAGTGTTCTCCGCTCTCGGGGAAGGGCCGTGGGGCTGGAAGGCGCGCGTGGGTTCCGCGCACCGGCCTCGCAGCAGGTGGTCGCGAGGAGCCCCCCGGCCCGCCTGCAGCTGCCCCCACAGTCCCCGAGGGCGGCGGGCTTGGAGACGGGGGCAGCTGTCAGGTTAAAAGGGTCGACGTGGAGTGACCGCTCAAGGCCCCTGACTTGTCTGCAGACTCGAGGAGTGCAGAGATCGGAAGCAGAGACGGAAATGCTCGGATCTTGTTTAAAAATATTTTGGCAGTTTTAATAGATAATATTAGATTGCATAGGAACAGAGGCACGGAATTTAAAATAGATTAGTCACGGAGGAAATGCCAGGCTGTTTTGTTAGAAAAGTATGCACAGTGAATTACCTTCTTAGATTTTCACTTTTTTGAAAAATTTCCTTTCTAAGACATACCAGATTATGACACGTCATAATTTGTATGTGGGTTTCAAGAAGAAATATTGGGAAAGGGATGCTTAGGTTTACTTTATTTTGGGGTGGAGGCTGATATTTCCCTGAAGACTTAAAGGAGCTGCTTTCAATCTAAGTGCCAGTGAAAGTGGCTCTTAGATTCAAGGGTATCCCTTTTCCTCCATTTTTTAGTACTGAGACATTTTAATATTGTCCTCTAATTAAATTATCAAATTATGGTATCCTTACAGGTATTAATATGCATATAAAGGTTTTCTTAAGAACCTATGGCTGCCTGGCAAGGTCAGCCTTCTTTATTCTTGTTTGGGTGTTGGATGCTGGACAATTAGGTCTTGAAAGAAAATAATTTCAAGGAACCATTGGGAAGTTTCTTGTTTTAATTTTATTAGTATCTTGTACGAAAGTTAATGTGCCATCCTGATATTAGAAACACGTTATATTTCTTGGCTCTGGTGATTCCCAGTTATAGGTGAATGAATCAGTAATAATAATACAAACATGGAGGCATTGTAGATTTTTTATTTCATTTTGCTTGCTAATTGTGGATGTTATTAAAATGACAGAAATCCTTAGCAATACTATAGCTGATAAAAGGAAATTTAGTGAGTTCATATGTCTGGTAAACAAATTGATTTATTTAATAATTGATATCTTGTCCTTTTTCAGAATTATTAATACAATTTAACCTCAACTAAGTTAATTAAACATTTTCCCTTTTTGTGACCAGAATAACACCCATCGTCTTATAGGGAAGTTAATATATTTTCATCCCTCCTCGTTGTTAGAGAATCAGTTAAAGCATTTGATATTTTAATCACACTTTAAGGATATAATGGTTTATTATTCAAGATTTGGGGGGCGTTGCACTGTGGTTGCTTTGAAAGAAGAACTTAAGTGTATTACAAAGTGGGAGAGATCTTTGAAGAATATATGGGTTGAACTTTAAGTATTCAAAGTAAAAGGTGGTTGGATGGAAACAGAAATATGTCAGGTTTTTGTGTCTCTTGACCTTAACTCTAAGACTTGGGCCTCATTCCATTAGAGGTCTGTTTGTTTTGTTGGTGCAGTTCATGTGCATTATGAATATGATGTTTTATGTTACCTTCGTAGAAATGAGCACTTTATAATATGTTTTGATCAGTGTTAAGATCCTGCTAACGTACAGTTGTCTTGCATATGCATATTTTTATCGTGGAGTTTATTAAGTATATTAAGGAATAAATAATACTCTTTCAAGCATGATATAAGATTCTCAGCCCCTTTGTTTTGGATTCAGTTTTATCTTATATGCTTTTTTCATTCTTTTCAGTGGAATGAAGAATAGTAGTTATGATATTAAATGCAAATTTTCTTTTTGATCTGGCATGTTCAAAAACTAGTACAATAGTAGAGTATACTCTTAAACTTAATAATGAAACAAGTGGGAATTCTGAGAAGTTGGTGCTGGAAAAAAATAGTAATCCTCATCTTGTCAGAATTCGCACAGCTAAAACCTGGCATTAAGCTTTCAAATACTTTGTCATTTCTCAGCACCTTGGATTTAGGGGGCTGCGCAGTTACTTTGCACAGTATGTTAATTTTAAGGAGAAATTTATAGAAAAAGGATGCCTTCTGCATGCTCAGAGGACATTCATGTTTGTTGAATGACTTGTCTGTTGGTTGGTTGAAGAATTTCCAGCCATATCCTATGAAGGGGTAAGACACTTTTTCCTCCAGTTTCATTCAGAATTCAGAAAAAAATCAATAGGAGGGAACATTTTATGTTCCCCAAATTACTGTTAATTCATTAGGAGCTGTGTGTTCAACTCATAGCTCTGACAGTAATAAGATCCTGAATATTTTAAGATCACTGAATGCTTACTGATTTGCCTAGGTTAAATTATTTGGTACTTGGAACACAGAAACACCAGCTCTGCAATCTGAAGTAACCCATGATGTAAGTAAACTTTATATGTAATTATTTCAGCTTGAGTTCTAACACTAGGACAAAAGTTTAAAAGAATTCATTTCCTAGGCTTAGTGCTTATCCTTGCCTAAGCCAACCTCTGGCTTGTCCTAAACCTTTTCCATTTCAACCTGCAGTATACCCACTGCACCTTTCTCACCAGGCCCCTATGCCTTCAGACTCCATACTTCCAAACTCAGTGGTGCACTTCTGAGGCTTTAAATGCAGTCTCTGCCCTTAGGTTTCCTCATTCTTTCCTTAACATTTCCAGTCCGTCTTTTCATTTCCTTTAGCATGCACTGGATTTCCATCTCGATGTTAAGAGGAAAACAATCTGGTGGAACTAATTCACCTTAATCTGTAAATGACTCATGAGCTAACTCTTCCCAAGGTTTTTCCACATTTCTTATAAATCTGTAAGAAACTGCTGTTAACTTAGACAGTTTTAAAGTAAAAAATTCAGGCTGTGTTGGGAGGAAGGAATTTATAGTCCCTTGCATGAAAACTAAGTCAGATTTTACTGGGATTCTGCCCTTGCTATCTCCTCATTCCTGAAGGGTCTCTGTTCTTTGGAATGCCACAGACTTCATGGAAGTGTGTATATACTCTGTGTGTGTGTGTGTGTGTGTGTGTGTGTGTGTGTATTTCCTGCATGATGAAGAGGAGGATTCAGGAGTAGTGATTATCAATCCATTTGATATTTGTGGATAACTTTTATATTGCATTTTAATTTATAGGAACAAAGAAGGAAAAGACCTAGAATCTTTGATGACCTCTTAACATGCTGGTGTTGGGACTGGACTAACCCATGAAGTATATTATAGTCCTAACCACATGTAGTTCCTGTATATGGAAATACATCCTTAGATCTCTTGGGAAAATAGCCATGTTACGGAAATCCAAATAGCCTTGTAAGAAGGAAGTATTGAGGATGAGAGAATGTAAAAGCTTTTAGGGAAGGTAGTAGCTAAAGTGATAGATTGGTCATTGGGATACCAGTTCACAAAGAGAGCATCCCTTTGGGAGGCTGCTCATCGTAATCAGTCTCAGATGTCGGATTTCATTCAGGAGCAACCTTTATAGAGTTGTTATTCTACATTGAACACTTGGCTAGAAGTGGGGGATAGGATATGAATGAGACTGAGTTTCTGCCTTCAGGCAGCTTAAAACCTCTGTTCTGCAGAGCCTGGTCAGGTTTCTTCTTCATCCCATAGCTGCTTCTGTATAACACTTAGCACTTATCACCGTGTTTAAATGTCTTGCTTCTTTGTCTTCCTTCACCCTCGTAACTCGTTCTCCATGAAGGGTCGTTTGAAGAAGTGGGGAAAAAATGAGAAAGTAGTGTAGGGTTCAGAGAAGGGACAGGACACCAGGGGGGTGTGGAAAAGGCCAGTGGAGGTGGGCAGGAGAGAGTATGCCAGGCACAGGGGCAGGGAATGTGCCTCCCACATTCAAGGAGTGCCTGGTGTATCCGTTTGGCATAAGCACAGGGCCGTGTTTGGGACCAGAGAGAAGGCTGGAAAGGTACAGGTTTGGATCTGGGATGCCTCTCTGAGAAGTCTGGACTTCTTTCTCGTTGCAGTGGGGAAATTTGCACAGGTGGGTACAGAGTCACACCTGTACTGTAGGAAGATAAAGGTGGTATTGCAAGGTGGGATGTCTTGAAGCTAAGGAAGCTGTTTTCAGAGTGGAAACAAGAAGCGGTGAAACTAGAATTAGGTGCTCTTGAGGCAGAGAAAGAAAAGGATGGATATGTGGCTTAAGGAGATGAAGATTTGAGGAAGGAAGAGGAAGAAAGCACAAAGGTGAAAGTGTAGTGATGCAACTGAAAAAGAGAAACAGGAAGGGTAGAGTTGGGATTCTGAAAGGAGAGAAACATGCAGACTTGCTTTTGGACTTAAAAATTTGAGATTTTGACAGTTTCCAGGTAGTAGTTCAAATGCAGAATTATCACAAATGATTTGTGCTGATGTTCTCAAACTTGTCCATTATGAGGATCATTTTTGTAAATTAAAAACATTGCAGATGTTCACTGATAATTTTACTTTTAGTATTTGTTGAGAATTCATACACTGTAAGAACAGCTGCCATGAATTCGGTTACGCTCTTAAATGAGTTAAGAGGCAGGGAAGAGAGCGTAATATGCCACTAACCACGTCAGGTAGCCAGCGTTTCAAGGAGCTGTGGTCAAGCCGCAGAGAGGTTCGAGGGAGGGCCGGTGATAACACGGTGGTTTCTCCGAGCTCCAACCGAGTCCGAGCCCGGGAAGGCGGACTGAAGCTCCTCAGAAGGGAGGGAGACGGTGAAGACCCTCCGTCCCACACCACATCCTCATATCCCCACATCCCCACATCTCTGAGGAGAAGGGTGGAGAAGTCTTGCTTCCCTCAGGCATGTCGAGTGCTTCCTTGTGGTTCAGTGACAACATAGGAGTTGACCAGTCGAGTTTTCTGGGCCAAACTCACCCTTTTTTTCATTGAGCAGGTTTGAATCTGACAGATGACTGATCCTACCTCTAAGGAGGAGGCAGCGTTCTGTTTTGTTTTATTTTTAAGGTTCTGGAACAGCCGTTACCATTTAAAATAGATTAATGAATAACAAATGACAACAAATGGCCTTAAACGAATCCATTGTTGTTTAATTCCTCTTCTTCTCCCAGTGGCACTCGCTCGCTGTGTGTAGGTAGCAGGACTTTGGTGTGGATTTTGAATGCAGTAAAAATTAGTAACTGGTTTCTCTTCACTGTGGAATTCACGAAAAGGTCAGACTCAGCATGGTTGTTCCAGCATCCTGAAAAGACCAGGTAACGGTCTTCAGCTGAGTAAATTCACTGTGCTGTTAGCTACCTGTGTACAGTGTTATTGGCAGGATCTTTTCCTGTTTGCTTCAGATTCGAGAGAGAGCTGCAGTTAGAAGCTCGCTCCTGATTTATTTGACCTTCATGTTGAAGCATGAATAGATACAGCATTTTTAAAAACAGAAAATCTCATAAGAATTTTCTTTTAAATCAAATCAAGTTAATGTATGAGGTGGTGGGTGTTTGAATGATCATATCACAACAGGCATTAGTAGGGAACTGAAACATTCTCCCAAGGCAAAAGCTTAAGGAGGAAACTCCTCTCCCAGCAGCAGGTGTGGGCCTTCAGAAGCCTCCTGGGACCCTGACAAGCTCACGGAGTTATCTTTCATCTGGTATCTTGACTTTGGGAATGCACACGTGGTCCTATCAGTCATTACAGAGATAGTGTAATAACTACTACTTTCTTCCTGCTTCTGCTTTTTTATCCCCTAGGGAACTAGGGTTTTTTGTTTTTTTTTTTTTCTTCCTGGGTAAAGATGAGAAAGGATAAACATTTGAAATTAATTTTTTCCAAAATTATAGACATTTTAGAAGAATAAAACTTAAGTTTGGGTCTTTAGTTTTCCTTAAGTTTCTCTTTAAGTTTGACATATCTTTTGTCTTGTTGCTAATAAAAAGATTCAAAAACTATTCTTAACTGATTTTCTCACATACTCTTTAGACGAAAGAGTATGTGAGAAAATCAGTTAAGAATAGTTCCATAATTTTGGGGAGCGCATATGATGATAATTGATGACACCATAAACCTTGCAGTTGCATAGCTCTCTTCAAAAGAGAAGATTGTGTGGGCATGGGGTATATATGAGATGGATGACTTCTGCCTCTGAAACCAATAATACATTATATGTTAATTGAATTTAAATGAAAAAAGATTGCTTGTGTGTGTGTGCACGCACACGTGTGGTTATACGTGTATATGTATTTTTTTGTGTACTGGAGTTGAAAGTCTTTGAAGCTCTTGCATTCTGTGTATGATGGGAAAGGAAGTTTCCTTTCTCCCTTAGATGCTTTCTATGAGTCCTTCTGTTGGTATAATGCAGTCCAATACAGATTTAAACTTGTGTCTGTAGTTCCCAAGAGTTGTGTTTCTGTGGGTTAGTGTCCAGCTGGATGATATACTGTCTCCCTGGAGAGTCTCCCTGGAGTGGGAGGACAAGTAGATACTCCTCTGTGTGATGTAGAAGATGCAAGAGTGTTTTTATCCAGAGGGATCAAGTGGCCTGAACCTGAAGGTAGATTTAAAGAATCTGGATGATCACAGAACAAGTAGGAGTTCCTGGTGCCCTGAAGGTACACTAAATAGGGATCTTCTAGTGTAGTTTGCCAAGTTTGCCAAACCATGGGAGTCTCACAACACAATGACCTGGGAAATTGTATTTTTTTTTTAAGATTTTATTTATTTGTCAGAGAGACAGAGCGCCCTTGCGCAAGAGCACAAGCAGGGGAGCCACAGAGAGAGAAGGAGACTCCTTTTTGAGCAAGGAGTGTGATAAGGGACTTTCCCAGGACCCTGGGATCATGTCTGAGTGGAAGGCAGATTCTTAACCCACTGAGCCACCCAGGCGTCCGGGAAATTATCAGCACTCCAAGTGACGGTCCTGGGTGCTAGCAGAAAGCTGCTGCTCCCCAATTGAATCTTTTTTTTTTTTTTTTTTTTTTTTTTTATGTCTTGGGAAGTTATCAAGTCACCTGGAAACACCCTTATAAAATAAAGGACCATAAAATTTGAGGCGGTCACTGGTTGATCAAAGCAGATTGTGGGTGACACAGACATTCCTGAAGATGGGGCTTCCCAGAAGTCAGTCCTTAGGGTGTTAGGGAGATACAGTATCCCTGAGTGGGATGACGGAGACTAGAATTTTGATAGCATTCTGATCATGGTATAAAGAACAAGTCCCAGATGTGGTGGCCTCCTGGCCTTCAGAGATGTCCTAATACTCTTCTGCTTGCCTTATCTCCTAGTTCACTGTTGCTCTGTACTATTTTGAATCGAGGCTGGACCTTCCATTTCCCTCTGATGCACATACATATTCTTACATATTCTTACGCTCTTCTGTAATGTTCTCTGTAGAGGGCCACAAGGTCCTTTTTAATCCTAAAGGTGCAAGTTGATTACAACATGTTTGTTTGTTTCTCTTAAATGGAAGTACTTGGCCAACTTCTCTTTGTATGTGGGAGGTCTCCAGGCAACTGTGAATAACTTTTAAAGGCTGCTAGGAGGTCAGGAAGTGCTTTGCTGGGTCTTGTTCTGGCTCTTTAAAAGCAGGCTTCTTGGTCTTGATTGGGCCCCAAAATTCTGTTTCTTCCTGGACTGTCTTGGGCTGTCTGCAGCTGCATTAGAGGTTGTTCCAGCCTGCGTATCTGACCCTTAAACACACCAAGATCCAGGCTGCTACTTTGCACGCAGGGCAGATCTGTTAAAACATCCTATCTTACGCCATCTTCAAGTGCTAGATGTTTGCAAGAGAATCCCATCATCCTGATTTTTCTGTAGCCCAGTGCCTTTGCAGTTCTTAGACTCTCACAGATGTAATCCTGTGGTCAATCTGTTACTCTTTTCTTCATGGACTCAGCAAAAAGTGTCAAAGAATGGTAGCCATTTCCTCTCCTTTATCACTAGTACCTAAGTGATCACCAAATCTTGTTATTTATTTTGAAATTTTCCTGCCTTTTTTCCTGGGTTCTTAAATACACCACCTATCTTCTGACCTCCAATTCATACTGAAATCCATTGTGCTCAGCCTACCAGGCCAATCTTACTTGTTTTTCTTTATAAATTGGGAATTACTGTACCAGTCTGGCAGGGCTGCTACAAGGATTACAGATCTTCTTTAACTTACCTTTATGCGTACATGCCAGTAAACCCTTCGAAAGTTGAAGATTGCCATGAGTTGCATTTAATGCAGCTAACTTACTGAATATCAGAGCTTAGCTTAGCCACCTTCATTGTGCTCAGAACACTCCAGCTTACAGTTGGGCAAAAATCACCTAACACAAAGTCTATTTTATAGTAAAGTGTTGAATAGCCCATGTAATTTATTGAATACTGTTCTGAAAGTGGAAAAAGAATGGTCGGTGTGGGTACAGAATAATTGTAAGCATATCCGCTGTTGACCTCATCATTGTGTGGCTGACTGGGAGCTTTGGCTTGCTGCTGTTAACCAGCATCAGGAGTGTCACTAGCCCAGGAAAAGACCAGAACTCAAAGTGGCGTGGTTTCTACTCAGTGTATATGGCTTTCCCACCATCAAAAAGCTGAAAAATCGTAAGTCGAACCTGTGAGTTGGGTACCGTTTGTAGATGTCATGTAAAGTGTTAATCATATTGTCTGACGCAAAGTCAGTATTCAGCAAATGGCAGCGTAACAGACTTCTCTCCTCCTGGAATCTGATTATTCTTCACCTCACCTTTCACACCACGGAAGCAAGCAGCAAAACGCATAGACAGAAGTATGGGATATAGAGCCCCTGTGAGCCTTGATTCGAGTCCTTGACTTCCGCTTGACTGCCTGTAAGATTTCAGGCAAATTGCTTATATTCTTTATTTTTTTTATTTCATTTATTTATTTGACAGAGAGAGAGATCACAAGTAGGCAGAGGCAGTCAGAGAGAGAGAAAGGGAAGCCGGCTCCCTGCTGAGCAGAGAGCCGGATGTGGGGCTCCATCCCAGGACCCTGAGATCATGACCTGAGCCGAAGGCAGAGGCTTAACCCACTGAGCCACCCAGGCGCCCCCGATTAGTTATGTTCTTTATATTTTTCACTTTAAAATGGAAACAGTTATACTGACCACTAGGATTGGTAGAAGAATAACATGAGGTGACTTTGTTCGAGGGGGAATGCATCCTTAACTAACGGCAGTTGCTGCGCAAATGCTCCTGGTCTTTGTCCTTCCGGGAGCACTTCTGTCCATTCCGCAGTGTCCGATGAGGACGTGTAGGAATTTTGGAGCTGGTGTCACGAGTGTGTCCTCTCTTCTTCTTGCAGGTCGAGTCCATCCACAGTAATGGCCGCGGCCTTACCCAGGACGCTGGGGGAGTTGCAGCTGTACAGAATATTACAAAAAGCCAATCTGCTCTCTTATTTTGATGCCTTTATCCAACAAGGTGGTGACGATGTCCAGCAGCTCTGTGAAGCGGGGGAGGAGGAGTTCTTGGAAATCATGGCCCTCGTGGGCATGGCCAGCAAGCCCCTTCACGTCCGAAGGCTCCAGAAGGCGCTAAGAGACTGGGTGACAAACCCCGGCCTGTTCAACCAGCCGCTGACGTCGCTGCCCGTCAGCAGCATCCCCATCTACAAGCTGCCGGAGGGCTCGCCCGCCTGGCTGGGCGTGTCCTGCAGCAGCTACGACAGGGGCAGCAGCGCCCGCGAGCCGCACCTGAAGATCCCCAAGTGCGCCGCCGCCACCTGCGTGCAGAGCTTGGCTCAGGGCAAGGCCGACGCGGCGGGGAGCGTGGTGCTGCCGGGCCTCGGGGAGGCCAGACTCTGGCAGGGCCACCACGCCCCCGAGAGCGAACACAGCCTCTCGCCCGCCGACCTGGGCTCGCCCGCGTCCCCCAGAGAGAGCAGCGAGGCGCTGGACGCGGCTGCCGCGCTCTCCGTGGCCGAGTGCGTGGAGCGGCTGGCGCCGTCGCTGCCCAGGAGCGACGCGGGTGACGTGCGGGAGCTGCTGAGGAGCAACAAGAAGCTGGCCAAGATGGTCGGCCACATCTTCGACATGAGCGACGACGACCCGCGCAAGGAGGAGGAGATCCGCAAGTACAGCGCCATCTACGGCCGCTTCGACTCCAAGAGGAAGGACGGGAAGCACCTCACGCTGCACGAGGTAAGACTCCGCGTGCGTCCCTTCGTGCCTCCCGCGTCTGTCCTCGTCGTTCCTCACCGACGAGTGCGCTAGCTCTCGGCCGCGGGGGACGTACGGCCCCGGGAGCGGCGCTGGAGATCGTCGGTGTTGGCAGCAGGGCCCCTCTTCAAGGAAGACGGAGCGTGTTTGTCGTGTCGGGGCGTGTCTGTGTGGGGCTCAGGTGCGCGGGGCGCGGACGCCGTGTGGGGCGACTTCCGGGAAACCCGGACCGAAGCGGGAGAGCGCAGAGCCGTTGCGCTTAAAGGCGGTCTGTTTTTTAATTAAGACATAAAATAGGATTTTAAATACAACCGTTCACGGAAAAGGCCTGTGGGGTGCCTGGGTGGCTCAGTCAGGGAAGCATCTGACTCTTGATTTCGGCTCAGGTCACCATCTCAGGGTCGTGAGTTCGCGTCCCGTGTGGGGCTCCGCGCTGGGCCCGGAGCCTGCCTGAGCTTCTGTCTCTGCCCCTCCTCTCCCTCTTGTAGAGAGGTGGGTAGACAGGTGGCATTTTCGTAGACTTTAGAATAAAAACTTATAAAAAAAAAAAAAAGACCAGAACTTAAAAGTAATTTTCAACTAGCATAGACAATAAAATTTTATTAGATGAATGTTACAAGTATTATGATGGATTCGAAAATTGTTTTGGTTTGATATTCGGCATTAAAATTCTCATCATCTGTTTGTAGCTCTCTGTCCAGAAATACCCTTCTCCAGCCGAAGAACACATCCCTCTCTCTCTCTCTCGCATGCATCGCCTTCTTCTTGTCCATCTGGTCAGTGCATCATTTCTAAGATGTAGCTCAAGTGTAAACTTAAGTCTGTTCTGATAAGTTTTCCCACAAGTAGAATGACCTTCCCTTTCCTTTCCATTTTTATCCCTGCAGACACCACTGTCACAGTAACTTAAGCACTTCACTGTACTTACTTGTATGCTGATCTGTCCCTCACAGTGTACTTTGGTTTTCTTCAGGGCAGAGATAATGTCTCGTTCATTTTTATATCCTCAGAGTCTAAAACACCCTATACATGTTTGGCAAATAAATGCATTTTCAGAGTTAAAAAGACTATTTTATTGCTAAATTTTTTATAGCATTTATCCGATAGAAGAAATAAATCCTGTAGAAGAAATAAAATGTTCATTTGAATGTAGTATTCCATGTAAGAAACATTAGGTTTTTCCCCTCAGATTTGTACTTTAACACAGCAAAGAATATATACTTACTGCAAAAATATTCAATTATTATAAAAGGATGTAAAGAAATTGAATCTGTAAACTTTCAGATAGTTTTCTTTACGTGTACAAATAAGGGATCGTATTTGGTACACTATCCTCTAACTCCTTTTTTTTTTAAAAAAAAACTTGTAACACTATACTCACAGTACAGTGTATATTAGGTATCTTTCCAAGTGAATACACCTAGAGTTACCTTTTTTATTTTGGGGTCGTATTGTATTCCAGAATGTGAATGTGCCCTTATTTATTTATCTGAACCATTCATTTGGTGCCATTTAGGATGTTTCTATTTTTTTTTATACTACATATGGTAGACATGAACATTATATACATACTCTTTTACAGACAGACTTGGCGTGTTTTCCTGTAGAATAGATTCCAACATGTAGAATAATGGAATCAAAGAATATATAGATTTAATATTTTAGTAGATACTGCTGAATTGCATTATAAAACTGCAACTTTATAATTCCATTATTACATGCAACTGTCCATTTCTCCACACTCTTGCTAATACTGCATTTATCATTCTTTTTAATCTTCGACAAACAGATGAAAAATTTTCATTGCTCAAGTTTACTTTACTTAGTGAGGATGACTATCTTTTCATATGTATAATAGACATAAAATTTTATGTTCTTATCATTTGTTTTAATTGTTTAATGTTTTGTTTAATGTTTAATTGTTTGATGTTTTAATTTATTTTTCTTACCCCTAAGAAATTTGATTGGTTAAAACTTTTTATATTTTAAGGATATTAACCTTTTGTCTTACGTTGTAAACATTTTCCCAGATTATCATTTGTCCTTTGACCTTTCAGCCTCATTTGCCATGTGGAAGTTTAATTTTATATAGTACTATTTATTGATCTTATCCTATATGATTTCATTAGTCTAGTTCTCTATTCTTTTACCAGTATAGAATTACTTTAATTACTGTAGCTAAATAATGTATTTTGATATCTGGACAGGCAAGTGTTCCTTCAGTAGTCTTGTTTTGTAGTGTCTATCTTTCTGGGTGGTCATGCATTTCTTCTTCCAAATGTAATTTTTATATTTATTTATTAAAAGATTTTATTTATTTGAGAGAGAGCAAGAGTGTACGTACATGAGCAAGAGGAGGGGCAGAAGAAGAGGGACGAGGAGACTCCCCACTGAGTAGGGTGCCGATGTGAGGCTTAATCACAGGACCCTAAGATTATGACCTGAGCTGAAGTCAAACACCCAACCTACTGAGCCACCCAGAGGCCCCCCAAATGAAATGTTTAATGCATTTATTAAATTGCGCAAAAACTTCTATGGTATTTTTATTAAATTCCTTAAAGCTATGGATTAATTTGGGAAAAACTGACATACTTAAAATAATGAAAACTCCATATAGTAATGTAGTGCGTATATTCACGTATTTAGATCTTTTATATTTCTCCGTAATTCTACAGTATTTTTATTCATGTGTCACAGAGGTTTTTCATATTTCTTGTTAGGTCAAATACTGAAGTATATATATACATATTAAATGTCTTCTATATATTCAAATTTTTATTTAATAGAGGATATGCAAATATATAAGATTTAAAAAGGATATAATTGTAAATGAAATTTTTTCCTGCTTTTTAAAAAAGATTACTGTCACTGGCTGATTTTTGCATATTAATCTTGTTTTTGGCAATTTCACTGTCATCTTTTTAAATAAATGCTTTTAGATGTGAATGCATACTGGAGCTTAAAATAAGGAAATTGGTTAGCAAAATGTTTTAAGTAACAGTGCATCTGATTTGATCTATTTTGGGCATATCCCTTTGTAATTGTATGTATAGTTGCCACACAGTAACTGACTCGCAAGAACTTAGGAATCCATCTAGAAAATACACTTAGCATTATAATTCAGACACATTTTGATGCTTTCATTACCCATGAATTAATGGAGGAATCTACCAAAAGGCTATTATGGTTGTCATTAATAGAAAACAAAGGGCAATGCATGTTGGTAATTTTAGTTTCATGCTTTAATCTAGTTCTAATGTAATTTTAAAATATAGCAGATGAAACCCAAAGTTGAGTCAGTATTTTTTCAAAGTGAAAGTATGTTAAGAGATGACTTTGATAAACCAAATCAACCTCACTTTTTTTCTTTTTAAAGTCCTAACCTACTTTTAAAAAAATAGAAAAATTATTTCACACTTGGCTTTTGCTTAAGGTTTCTTTGCTTCTTTGGATAAATAGGTACAGATGGTATTTAGGTAATGAGATTATCATGAGTTTCCCAAAATAAGAGAACACTCAGAATGAGTGCTAGAAGGCTGAGATGTGGGGGCGGGGGCTTTAGAATATGTGGCTTGTATCTTTGAAACTTAGACCACTTGTTATTTGTAAACTCAAGTATGTGAATCCGGTCCAAAAATACAGTTTACGATAGATGTTTATGAATCAGGATGCTTCCTTCAAACCAGTAGCCATTCAGCAGCTTGGTGGATATTATGAAATCCTGAGAGAATTAAAAGAAAGGTACTACATTAAGTGTACCTCCTAGTATGGTAATTTCACATTTTCTCCCTTGACCATGTAAAATGAGTGAAAGATATGTGAGTTTTTCTAAATTCCTTAGATTAAAGAACAGTACTGGTTTGTCCTCAATTTCCAAATAAGGAAATATATGACTCATTGTTAAGTCACTGTCAGTATTTGAGAGTTTTCTTCATGAACCCCATGTGGACACTGTTCTTTCAATCTTTCAAGACCTACTACTGTAATATGTAGGTCACTAGTGAACGAAAGCCAAAAAGTTATCTGCACCTGAAAACATTTTCTCAGCTCTAAACTACATAAAATTCTCTTTCTTACATGCATTTTTATACTTAATTCCAAATGTGCTATATATCAGGCAGTAAAGAATTATGAAATTAATCATTGTTAGAATAAACACTTTTTTGTTTCCTTAAAGCTAAAAAATCAGCGACGGTCTTGGTACCTGACTGGATGTGGCCTGGTGTATAGGAGTCAGACCATGAAGATAGTGTGAATGGCTGGGCCTTGAACCATACTTGTTGTTGGGGTGAGGCAGGTTCTAAGGAACAAACCCCAAAGTGTTAGAAGTCCAGGCAGATATGTTTCGTCTTTCCCGAGGTGTGTTACATGGTAAGCAGACAAGCAGTGTATGTGTCAGATCTTAAGTCAGTGAATGGATGAGGAGAAAGAAACTGAAAATTAAGAGCAGCAAGGCAATGGAGGAGGCAGGAGCTTGCGGTATCAGAAATGTGAGCGAGTAGTCAACTTGGCATTCTAGAATATTTGTCAGATAGCAACTTCCGATTGGAGAGTTCCGGCACTTAAAGATGGGAGGAGGAGGATGGGTAAGTGGGTAAGTTGTAGACCTACTGGAAATTCTATAGGAGCTGAAGTGTGTGTGTTACTAAGATAAGGACTTGGGCCCACAGAATATGCCACATTTAGGTCAGTTTTCCTTGTAGTGTTGAGAAGTTAAGGCTGAAGCTTTCAGAGGAACCCAGCAGTCTTAGTTTTGAGAGGGGAGGACTTTTGAACCTGGGACCCCCATAGATAGACCTGAATACATTGTTGGTAAGTTATGATGCTTTATTCTAAACTCTTAGAAAGCATTGATTTCAGCATCATATACTTGAAAATAATTTTTTTTAAATCATTTTAAAAAAATGGGTTATGGACTATCAGGGTAGTCTGCTTTTGAGTCATCTTGGTAAGTCATATTTTTCTAAATATGTCCATTTCAT